AGAGCAGCGGGGCTGGGCAGACACCGCCGCCATCCGTGATCGAGCGCAAGCTAGTCTAGGGCGCAAATTTCAGCATATATATATATATATATATATATATATATATATATATATATATATATATATATATATATATATATATATATATATATATATATATATATATATTGTCACGGGGTCGTGACGTGGCCAAAGACAGGAGACTTCGTGTTGGGATTTAACTGTTTATTTGGGCGAACCTGTGCCCGGTAAACGGAAAGTCCAATTACAGCAGCAGTCTCGCACAGATAGCAGGCTCGGACTGATAGCGGCGAACGGAGCGTCGGCCTTCGATCAACAACTGACAAGCGGCGAAGCACGTCGGCATTTATACTGTTTATGTATATATATATATATTTATACTCTTTATGAGCAGGCGCGGTTCGCGCTGAGAATGGTGTGGTGTTTCGTGACGATAATAAAAACTTGGGAAATGGAACGTGGCAATATATATATATATATATATATATATATATATATATATATATATATATATGTGTGTGTGTGTGTGTGTGTGTGTGTGTGTGTGTGTGTGTGTGTGTGTGTGTGTGTGTGTGTGTGTGTGTGTTCAGGTCTAATGTCTGCGTGGAGATACGGAAGCAGCTGTTACTCCACAACATTAGTATGACGATCGAAGCAAAGTAAACCGTTTGTGCGAGATGGCCTGCAGTGTCGCATGTTTACCTGCGAAATGCGCAAGCACCGTGGCTCCCGATCTCGCTCGTAGCTTGTAAGCCGGCGCTGTTTTGATTAAGTGACATAGTGGAGCACATTTTATTGGGTTAAGCACTAGTTTGTGTAATAAACAATTGTAACCCATCTTCGCTGGCATGAAACCGGTACCCTCGGTCAAAAAGATTTGAGTGGTAAAGGAACGACCGGTAGTACAAGCTGCCCTACGTCAACTGTCTCCTGTATTGTTTACCGTTGTGATATATGGCCGCGCGATCACCGGAACCGAGTGGATTACAAACATTTGCCGAGTTTGACACACGCTGGATGCCCGATCCGGCAAGGCAGTGTGACGGAACGTCACCAAACCGGCTGCTACACGAGCGCGTCGGACGTCGAGTCCTGGTGAAAGGTCATAGTGCGTGTCCCACACTTTATGCACTCCAGGATGAGCTGCTTCCATCGTGGGAATTTAAACGCCACGGAAAATTATCCTAGCCGACAGTAGCGGCAACCACGCAGAGAGAAAACCTGCTACAAAGGCTCCGCGCAAACAGAGGATCACTGCATCGAGAGCCATCCTGGTTATCTTGTGGCGCGCCCTATAGTCACTGAAAGTTGTGAATAGCAAGTCTGGAATCTTGCAATTGTCACTCTTGTGGAGATGCGCATCCGTCCACTCAACGCACGTGCCCATCTCTCGTACATCTAGTATCTGTGAGCTATTCCTCTTGGTAATCAATAATTATGGAATTTCGTTCCTTGGGACGTTTTAAAGTGCCGTTGCTGCTGCACATGCCACCCAAGATCCGTCAAACGACGTGACAAATACCTAAGAATGTTGTTGTGCCTCTTTGTTTGCACGTGGATAGTCTTGTGGCATTTCTGGAGTATGTGCCCCAAAGATTCTTCTATTTTGGGCACCCCGCTCGGCATTGCATGGGTAGGTCATGACCTGTACGCAAACAATAAAGTTGGAAACTGCGCCAGCGTGGAACTTCACGAGGTGAATTAACCCCAAAAGGTAGTGGTTCCATTCACCAACCTCGAGGTCCACCTGCAGCCTCTTTGCATTGTTGTAGGTGTCTGGCATCAAAGGTCGGTGCAGTTCCTGAGCCCAGTTTTCCTCAACTATTTGCTGCTACCGATTCGTGAGCCTTTTAAAAAGTGAACTTTTCTGCTTGCTTTTTCAGGTTCACTGTGGTTGGTTTAGTAGTTGTAAAAACGCATGCCGGATTGTAGGACTCAGCTACTGCATTGAAGCGGCGTCAGAGCCTCATTGCCGGGACAACGGTCCTGAAGCAGGGTACTCCTAGTCCTCCCTCCTCCACCGCTTCGTAGAAGAAACCAAACAGTCAGTCCATGGGCAGTGCGAGCCATCTTCATAATATAATTCGGACAACCCTGTCGATTGTCTGGAGCGCTTTAGCAGAAATGGGGCCCAGTACTAAGCGATAGTAAAGATGTGGTATTAGGTAAAGTTGAAGTACATTGAGACGCTCCTGCGTTTCCAGAGGCGCTTTCGATACCCGCTCAAGTAGTGTAGTACCTCAAGTAGGATGCCTGGCGGCCATCTTTTCAGCCCGCCTCCCCATCTAATATCGGCCTTGCACACTGTGTCCTGTTACGCCACAAAAGTTGTTGCGTTAACGCCGACTTCCTTTTCTTTTTTTGGCGGCTCACTTCGTTTAGCAGACATGGCGGTGGACGTTATGGACAGAGGTCCACAGCAAACACATCTCCTAGGTAGGAATTGAGGGCAGGAGTTATGTCCTGTGTGCTCAGAAATCTTTTCATGGGCCCCCATAGATTAAACGCTTCATATGCCCTTGGCGGTGCTTTTGTTTTAAGTCATCTAATCTGAGCCTCGATCGCCTCTCGGCGGTTGACTTTGACAGTGTCGAGGGCGTCATTTTCAGTTGCGTGTTTCTCGATGTCAGTAAGTGTCCTTTGAATGTTACTTTGGAAATCCTATCATGCAAATCATCCACTAATTTCTTATAATTGTCTGCTATTCTGTGGAATTGGATGATATCCAGCGCACGATGCGTAAAAACGCTCAGCAACTGATCAATATTATCTCGGACATTTTGGGTGTGAAGCTGTACTTCTTTAGTGGCTAGCAGGTACTCTCTTCTTTCCTTTAGCGTGACTTATTTCTTGCGAGGTTCACATCCTCATCACAATTCTTCAAATGCCGATGCCGCTGCATCTGACTGAGGTAGATTTTGCTACCGAAAATAAAAGCGCATTCAGGGAATTTGATTGTCGGCGTCGTCCTAAGGATATATTCGTATTCAGCACGTTTGCCGGGGTGGCATTTTTGGAACAGCGGTTCGCTGTGCCTAAAATAAAACGCTTTTCGGAATGGTCCCTAATGAGCTGTCACTGGAAAGCACCGGCATGTTGCTTATTTGAAAGGCTTGTATGGGAGGCAGCGCGCAGAACGCACATCCGTCCTCCTCGTCGTCATCGGTGGATGAGCGTTGGTCGTGTGCAAGTCTTAACTCCCTCCTGACCCCTGGTCTTCACCCCGTAGACACCAAGGCTGAACCTATATGAATACTGTCAGTGGAACCACGCGCATTCGATGTATCATTGCTAAGGGAAGCCGGGTGACCGCGGGGAACCGCAGAGGCTAAACCAACAACTGATCCTCCTGAGTCAATAGGAGGGAGCCACATGTAAGGGCAGAGGCTTCAGCTCATGTCCATTCTTAGGCCTTAGGCCTTGCCCCTGTCACCACCCAGGCTGACACCCCGTGGCTGTCGGCTCAAGCGCACACCTTCATCGACACATCTACATGGGGAGCTGGGCAAGTAGAGACGACCATGTGAGAGTCACATATTGAGCTGTCCATGCGTTTGACGAGTATTTCAGTCCTACTTGTTTGGCTTCATAGCATTGGACAGTGCTTTGACACGTTCACCTCCACGACCTGCACCATCACTGCCCTCGGATTCTCGTTCCATCAATCACATCAGAGTTTCAGATCGCTCACTTCTCTGATTATTCGTATCGTTGCCTTCAAATCATTTGTCCACAAGGAACTTTTTCGTTATATACGCCGATGACACGAGCATTTTCTTTAGAAATAGAGATGCAAAGTAATGGCTGAGGAATGCTAATAAAATGCTTCGCATTCTAGAACGTTGGTCCAAAGCTCAACGCTTTGCAAATAATGCAACTAAAACAAAAGTGATAATTTTTTCTACACAAGGTAAAACAGCGCCAAGTACTCGATCCTCAAGCTATAGGTCCTAAAGCATAGAAATTGTGTCAAGCTTTCAAAGCAATTTCAAAGCAAAGTTTAATGAGAAGTTCCTGTGAGATCTTTATGTTGAGCACGTATCTGCTTTACGCTTTAGTGGTCATTTCTACTGTAATAATAGTGTCCTCTATACGAAAATCAAACTGCTGCTTTTATATCTCTCTTTATGTGCCAGAATAAATAATACAGAATCATCGGAGTCCGTCAATTACGCGTCATTACTTTCGTACGAAGGTTTCTTGTCCCTTTGCCGCTCCCTCGAACTAGAAATATTTCGCTCCTTACCTTTGCATCCACTATTCTAGATTATTAGGCTAGGCGTAAGTTAAATGACAAGTATGTATATCTGAGTCCAAAACGCCAAGTTAATAGAATAGAGCCTTAAAGGCAGCGTCACTTCCTTTTTCAGCAGTTAGAAACTTTCCCGTTCATAATTCATGCACACCAATCGCTGGCGACGCGAACGCTTAGTAGCTCGCAAGGTGACCGAAATGCTGGGGCTTTTGATGTGGCTGAAAATAAATTCCTATTACTACTGCTACTACAACCCCACATGCATTTTCAGTGTAATACTCAGTGTTCGTAGTCACTTCATCAACGCTGTGATCACGTTCTCTGCAAGAATAAAAAAAAACTGCATAAAGATGATGAGCTGTTCGTGGTCACCGCACTGCTTCGAAGTGCGGTATTTTCGGCGTTACTGACTGGAGCAGTATTTTTATTCTTGTTTTCTTTTGGATAATTATCTATATTGGTGGCAATATACCAAGCTTCATGGCATTTTGCAGAGGGTAGATCAGCTATACTTGTCCACAAAGTACAGTATTCTACAAATACATAGAAGACGGCAAACCATTCGAACAACAGCACAAGAACACAAATGCGGAGTTTCGTGTTAATTTTCCACGTATGTGCCGTTGCGTTTTTTACAGTGTCACTCGTTTTTTCGCGTACATGTGGCAATCGGCCCATATAATCACTACACTATAAATAGAATTACCTCGAAGCACCAGCAACATTCTTCATACGAAACTGGCTTGTTTAATTCTCGCTTACATACTCCACGTAGTTCATCAGAAGTTTGCCGGAAGTTTCACTTCATTGCTGCCCTTGGGGAATGGTAAATGAATTGTTCGTGTGGTTACTTTTTAATACCCTCGTCACCACAGTGTATTCTGCGGTTCTCAGGGACCACCACACCACAGGTGTCCTCAAACTGGTCCGATGCATTCTTTCGACAGGGACTTGACGACGTCTCTCCGTACCCAGAGTGCGCATTCTAAAAAATGTCAAACCAAAAAGAAAGAACATGTTACCAGTGGTAAAAAGGAAGGCATCTAGCCTTTAGGACTAATAATCTTGCATTGGGCACAAGACAGTTTTGTCAAAAAAGCACAGGAGCTATCACACGCTCATAAATAGCGCATAAAACCACTCCGTTTCTGTCTGTCTGCACACACCAGAATGATTCTTCCTTCGACTGCTCAACAAAATGCACTAATTTGAACCTCAGCCACCAGAACACGTGTGTCATAAAAAAAACTGTGTTAAGCAGCTTAAGCAAAGTAAACAGCAACACAGTGGGTAGAAAAAGCCAGGCCTGCACGAAACACGCAGCACTATCATAGCGAGAGCTCGACGAGCGGCCTTTCTGAGACGTTTCTTAACACTCTTTCAGTAACTGCTACAAGCACACTTTCTGGCTACCCCATCTGCTATAAATATTCATAATTTTTCTCTAGTTGGCTGGAACTCACTATGCTATTCTGCATCCTTCTTCGCAGAAGCGTGGTATCCGCTAAACACTAGCTGGTAATAATGTGCAATAGTTCTATGCGGTGGCTGACGACGATGAAGAATTATGTCTGAAGTGGGTATGCGCCACAGTTAATAGGTGAACTAGAACAAGCTTCTTTAATGCGTGGGAGCATAGGACGACTCACATTTCAGGCAATTCGCATTGTGTGACACCTGGTTGTTCCATTTAAGTTCTCAAACGCTTTATTACAGATATTGGTGCGATTCCCTTCCAGACATTTTCTCTAGTAGGCTGGAACTCACTATGCTATTCTGCATCCTTCTTTGCAGAAGCTTGCCTAACGCCAGTTGTAGTTTTGAAATGAGGTTCAAGCGCCAGCGTGGCTCAGTAGTAGAATACTAGGCTGGTACACAACCAACCCGGGTGTCAAACACATTGTGTCTTTGGGTTTATTTTTTTATTTATTGCAGTATTATGGTTACGAACACCGAGGGGGCCAATGGACAACTATGGCGGCACACAAGACCTGTGTTTTGATCTTATAACAGCTTTCGCTGTATTAAACGTTGCGTAGCAGTGTTTCAATATATCTGCTTCATTTGTGTTGTCAATATTCTCACCAATCAGCATAGCTTAAGCCTAACAATGAGACTGCATCGCTGGCACATGTTCTTTACCGCATGTGTATATTGTTAACGCAGACATCGCCTAAAGCGAAGTCGAAGTCAAACCATCGAAGTTGTGACTTAGAACAAAAAACTTGCATTTCTCCATCGATGCCTCAAAGTTATTTATTTATTTATTTGCACGAACAAAACTGCAGCGCTAATTGCACCATGGCAGCAGTGAGTATAAAAGAATATACAGTGTATTTAATCTAAATAGGTTATGAGAGAGCTTGGCCAAAGCAAAATTTTCTTAGTGTTGTGAACACAAGCACTTGTACGTGAGCACCAGTACCAAGTAAAACGACCGAGTTTAAAAAAAGGACCATTAACGACCTTACAGGGTGCTCTTATTTCAGCCTGAAAACGTACGTGACTGGTTAAAGCACGCAAAAGGAGACAAAGGGTCAGTGAAAGAAAGAACGAAATCATTCTTCAGTGGAACGTGCCACCTGCTTGCCAATCTGAAAAAACATACGAATTACTGATCAATGGACTTTGATTTCAATAAGCAATGCTAAATTTCATTAGATGAAAGCTGGAGTGCCTGAAACATGCTAGGTACGACGTAAAATTGCTTTTTTCTGCCCCAGAAAAGCTCGCTAGGATGTGCAAGGCCATGAATTCTGGTTCCAGGCGAGAGTGAGGCTGCAAAATGAAGCATCGGAACAAGGACGTTCCATGCATCGAACGGTTGGTGTATTCTCTACCCATGCATTGTGACAAGTGGTACATCAGCCAAACAAGCTGGCATTTACACTAGCGGCTGAGAGACTAAAAACTAGCGACTAGCGTCTCTCCTACAGTATCGGGTCACCTTGGCATTCACTGCCGGGACTGCGATTGTGTCCCTAGCTTTCAGCGTTGTACGGTCATTAGGCGTCATCGGGATTAGATGATACGCGAAATATATGAGGCCGCAGAAATGGAAAGTCTGGGCGATCTATGTGTCGGCCGGCCTTCGATTGCTCTATCGCAAAAAGGAATAGATTTTCTTCAGAGTGTTGGCTCACGTGATGTTCATGGCAATTTATCACGACCATTACTTGGTTGTTAGGTAAATTCTGTTTTTTTGTGGCTTGTCATTCTTCTTATTTGTCATATACTGCTCAAGTATATATTGCGCGGTTTAAGCAAAAAAAATCTTGTAAGTCGGTGCTGCTGTGTGTGTCCTTTTTTCCTTGCCCCTCATTATTGGTGCTTTTTTTATGGGAATACTGTCATACCAACTCACCCGAGCAACCACACTATGCTAGTTTCACAACATGAGCGCTGAATTATAGGTTCCTATAGATATTGCTACGCTGAAGTGGCAAGGCATCGACGAAGGAAGAGGAAAACAAAGTGGTCTGTCTGCCTTGGAGCTAACTCGGTGTCGGTGTGGCTAGCGTTTGCTACTCATTCCTAAATATCGCACCTTATTGTAACAGTTTAGATGAGTGTGCTGCGTTCATTAACAGAAAGTAAATGTATTGATTCACAATTTCTGCTCTATCGAACCACAAGGAAGTTGCGGTATTGCTTGGCCTTACTGCGAGTAGTCGATGCGAATCACAGTTTGGCCGCAACCGAAGATAATAACTCCTCGAACGTGGCCAGATTCATTATGCTGTGACTAATAACTATGTGAGAGATTTCATTAGTGTTTTAACAGGGATAACTTCGGTTCCTGAAAGAACACATTGGGAAGCCCTTAATATAACACGTAACTTTGTGACCACGCAAAATGAAATGATTGCTAATTTGTAAAAGAATATATTCTAATAAGGCCATGTGATTACACAGAGCACGATGGCAATAACAAAATACGCAAGCGCTCATTCCTTCTTATTTCAATTCATTGTAATCTCCACTTTTGTTTATTTAGACCAAGGCTTTGTTGCCGGTGACATGAAAAAGAATTAACACATCGTTTCTGAATCTTTCACTCTGCAATATCATCTATCTCGGATGATGTTGTCGGGCATTGACCAGGTAATAATTTTCTCAGAAAGTAGGATGCTTAGATTTATTAATCAATACTCAGCTCATGGTACTGGGTACCGGGTCCCTGCGCAACTATAGATAGCCTTCATAGTTTACGAGAAGGCGTTTGATTAAGTGGAAATATCAGCCGTCATGCAGACACTGTGGAATCAGGGCGTCGATGAAGTATATATAAACACCCTGGAAGAAATCTACAGGGGATCAACTGCTACCATAGTGATTCATAAAGAAAGCAACAGAATACCAATCAAGGAGGGTGTAAGGCAGAAGGACACAATCTCCTCAATGCTATTTACCGCGTGCTTACAGGAGGTTTTCAGAAGCCTAGAATGGGAACAGTTAAAGATAAGAGCTAATGGAGATTACCTTAGTAACCTGCGCTTCGCCGACAACATTGCATTGCTGAGTAACTCAGGGGACGAATTGCAACTCTTGATGGCGGAGTAAGACAAGGAGAGCAGAAAGGTGGATCTTAAAATTAATCTGCAGAAAACGAAAGTAATGTACACCAACTTCGGAAGACAGCTGCGCTTCGAGATAAGTAATAGTGCACTTCAAGCTGTAAAAGACTATGTCTACTTAGAGCAGGTAATAACAGCGGAGCCGAACCACGAGAGTAAAGTAACTAGAAGAATAAGAATGGGGTGGACCACATTTGGAAAGCGCTCTCAAATTATGACAAGTAGATTGCCACTATCCCTCAAGAGGAAGGTGTATAACAGCTGTATCTTGCCGGTACTTAGCTAGCGAGCAAAAACCTGGAGACTTACAAAGAGGTTTCAGCTTAAATTGAGGACTACGCCACGAGAAATGAAAAAAAAACTGTGGCTGTAACCTTAAGAGACAAAAAGAGAGCAGAGTGGATTAGGGAACAAGGGAACAAGGAAACAATTATGATATTCTTAACGGGGGTTAAGAATATCTTAGCTGAAATCAAGAAGAAGAAATGGACATGGGCCGGCATGTAGCGCATAGACAGGATAACCGCTGGTCATTAAGGGTAACTAACTGGATTCCCAGAGAAGACAAGCGGGTTAAGAGGAGAGAGAAGCTTAGGTGGGCAGATGAGATTAAGAAGTTTGCGGGTATAAATTGGCAGCAGCAAGCACAGGGCCAGGTTACCTGGTGGAACATGGGAGAGGCCTTTGTCCAGCAGTGGACGTAGTCATGCTGATGATGATGATAATTCAGCTCACTAATTTGCCAACATTCACTTATGATCAATCATGTGTTGGAAAACTCGTACCCTCATCTAAGCCACCTGAAGAGATAACATTACTAATGATCTTATGTGGCACTTGATGCGCCAGAAGATTGTGAGGCACACACGTGTGCCGGGGCTTCGGCACCACGTGTTCAACATGATTCGGGATTCGTTGGCCATCTAGTGATCTCTAACCTGAGTATGAGTCAGTGTCATTATTCCAGACGTGCATCAAGAACACATGAGTGAGAAGCAGAGCAAAAAATAACGTGACTGATTCATCTTTTAAGGAATCGCTAAACCACGAAAATGAAACACATCTTCAATCAGGTACTTGAGGATTCGTTGAGCAATGTTTCGCCGCAACGGCGACAGAAATATTGCCACAACAATAAATTTAAATTTCATGCAAAAACAGAAGGCAGCTCAAAACTTGCAGCGTGCACTTCAAGCAGAAATCTCGCATAAAATGAGCTTAAAAATTACGAGTGTGGAGAAACAAGGGTGACAGCTCGACACCTGAAGCGCGCCCCGTCGTGGTGGTCTCGTGGTTAAGGTACTTGGCTGCTGACCAGGAAGTCGCGGGATCAAACAACGACTGCAGCGGCTGTATTTTGAATGGAGACAAAATGCTATTGGCTCGTGTGCTCAGATTTTTGTCCACG